TGTGTGTGTGTGTGTGTGTGTGTGTGTGTGTGTGTGTGTGTGCGTGTGTGTGCGTGCGTGCGTGCGTGTGTGTGCATATATATACATATGTATGTATATGCATATGCATATATACATACACACGTGTATAAATTTATAAAATACATATATGTATATGTATGTATATATGTAATTGCGATTGTATATATATACATACACACATACAAAAACATAAATATATATGTATGGGTGTGTGTCTATATCTATGTATGTATATATATGTATATATATTTATATATGTTTGTATGTATGTATGCACATACACACATATATATGAGTATATTTATGTGTGTGTCTCGATAGTCCAATGGTTAGAGCACTGCTTTCTAACCCTTGTGGTCCCGAGTTCAATTCCCCGTCGCGGCGGTCGTAAAAATGACTGCGCTCTGACTGCTTGCTCGAGCCCGTGAAAACTACATATCGCCTTCAGAAGTCAAACGCAGGTGTCGTAGGGGAAGTCATCGCCGTGGCATAAGTGTTAACGCGCCGTACCGCTGTTGATTAGGAAGGGCATTCAATCAGGCAAGGGTGACACTGCCATATAACCTCTCAATAGAGAGGCCTATGTCCTGTAGTGGAACGAATGGCTGTTAAGAAAAATATATGTATTTATATACATATATATAGCCTCGTCCGGGCTATGCCCATGAGGGGAGCCCGGCCTGTGTCGACTAATGTCGTCTCAGCTGGCGCTGACTCGGCTTAGTCCTTACCCACGTGGTGTCAGCCGCAGTAGTAAATCCAGGCGACAATTGAATACTTCTCGCGCCTGGGCGGGGCGCGAACCGCCGACCCCTCGGATGAGAAGCCGACACGTTACCACTGTACATATATATATATATATGTGTGTGTGTGTGTGTGTGTGTGTTGTGTGTGTGTGTGTTGTGTGTGTGTGTGGTGTGTGGTGTGTGTGGTGTGTGTGTGTGTGTGTGTGTTGTGTGTGTGTGTGTGTGTGACAACTGCTGTAGGTAGCGCTTTGTCGCTCTCTATTGCTGTTTGATGTGGTCAGAAGCAAGCAATATGTCTTGTCCGTTATGGAAGGGAAGGGGACGGGAAACTTTTGTTGCACAGCGATTAAATTATAAACGATCAAGGACTATAATTATTTTATCAGACCTATCGTTCCAAATTCCAAATAACATTGTTGACATAATACCGTATTTGATCCATCATCATAAGTAGTACCCAGCCCCCATTTTTTGGGGGGGGCATTTCATATTCCAACTATCCTCAGTATTACTAAAACTATAAATAATACACGTTAATTTGTTTGCACTGATAAGACATATTCGTTGATTGGCTTATTCCCCACGGTTGCGCTGGCTTTGGGCGAGGCGGAGGGGCCCGAGGAACAGCTGACTGGATTTGGGGCGAACCGATCCACGTTATGGACCAGTGGAGCCAGTCGAAGGGAGAGCGGCGAAGGGGTCTGCGGCTGACTTCTGTAATCTGGCACCAAAGTTTCGAGCATTGGCGAAGGCTTTCTTTCGCTCTGCGTATTTCTAGTCAATGCTATTACTATTGTTACTATCATTTTCACTTATATAATAATTATTATCATTACTTATTATCATTATTTTCATTATCTTAATTACTGTTATCATGCCTATCACTATTATTATCAATATTAGTATCATCTACCATAATATCATTATTATCATCTTTATT